ATTGAAATATAATGAGACAGATGGTCGAAGCAATTCTACACTTTATATCATGTATTTTTTGACAAATCTACAGTTAAGAACATGTAAAAGAACAAGATAAAAGTTTTAAAAAAATATTAAATATGATAAATAATATTAAAAATAAATAAGTTGTGACACGTACTAATAAATATGAAACAAAGTAATAAATAAAATTGTTATAATTAATAGAAAAAATATAAACTTTTTATAAATATACTTATCGACGTAAACGAGCTGAGTTGTTAATGTTAGTTTTTTCTCCTTATAATTTTATGTGTAAATTTGATGTGATAGACAATAGTTATTTGTACATTTATCCATGTAAGTTGCCAAAAAAAAAATCTTTATTATTCTAATTTTAAATAACTTTTTATTTGCTATATTAGTTTTTTTTAATATAATATATAAATATCATATTGATCATATAAAATAGGAAATATTCTAATTTTTACATATTTAATATGTAAGAAATATAACTCAATTGGTAAATTAATAGGTAATCTTGAGATAAAATAATGAGTGATTTCTGAAAAGAAAAAAAATATATAGGAACTAAAAATTTCATGTGTTTAATATATTTTTAATAGAAAAATTGTAAACACAATTAATCAATAAATACTACATAAAAAATTAATGTTTAAGAGGACTACAACAAATTTCTATATTGCAATGAAAAATTTAACGGTAAGGTAATCTACAGAAAATTCCAACGAATATTTCATAAATATTGCTTTCATTGGAAAATTTCATTGGCTATTCCAACAAAGTTCAAATTAAATTACTTGAACTTTAGTGGATTTAAAGATTTTAATTACTTGAATTTCCATTGGATTTTTTTTTGGACCATATTTCAATTGTTGGAAAAACTGTCATTGGAATTGTGCAAAAATTCAATGGAAATTCCATTGGAAAGCTAATTGCAGTGATAGATCTAAAATAATTTCATATTGGGGGCATTATTTAGTTAATAGAAAAAATATACCATCAAAATAACATGTCATTTTAATTTATAAATTAATCTATCACCTTTCTGATTTTGTAATACATTTTAATAAATCAATACAGTCACAATAAAATAAAATATATTTCAGAAACTAAAAAAACATGATTTTTCTCAATTCAACTTAAGAAGATCGTTATATTCTTGTTGTAATTTTCGTTGGAATTTTCTCATTTTCTTGTAGTAAAAGTAGGACTCCAAATCTATAAAAAAAATTGCATTATATATAATATTGTGTGCAACTATTATTATGAAAATTTTTATATGATAAAAAATATAACACATTCAATGTAATTGTCGTTTAATTTATGATAATAAGTAATTTTTGTTTTAAAACAAACAAGATACTTTGAAAGGTCCTTAATTATTTTATTAGTATTATAATAACTAAATAAGGGGTAAGAATGATGAGAAAACTTATAGCTCTCATTAAATTAAAGAGTAAAAATACTGATAAAATTACTTAATGTACAATATCAATTAGAGCTGGCTAATGAGAAATATAAAACATACTTAAGATACACATATATTTTAACTAGAACTTTTAGGTACATAAAATATATATGTATATATATATATATATATATATATATATATATATACATTTCTTTAAAATTGGGTATGTTAATCTTAAAATTTTTTAGTTAAAAATTTAATTACTTTTCCTCATTAAATTTTTTAATTTTTAAATACTTCATATTTTTATTTGTTACTCTTTTTATATGTAATATATCACATCATTTCTTTTCAATAATGTTTGAGTTGACCAATGTATTGCAAAATTATAGTATATATTGACCTAAAATTTTAAGTCCTCAATTCATTTCTTTTAAAATAATAAATTGACCTAAAATTATAGTATATATTAATTTATTTATTCAAGTTAAATCAATTTTATTAAGTATAGAATAACATAAGATAAACTTGTGGTATATTTTTCTTACATAGATTTGAAACAATTCATATTACAAATAAAATAAAAAAAATGGAGGTAAACTTACAACTATTCCCACATTTTAGCTAGAGCGCCCATTCTCGATATATATTTGACATTGGTTTGCCGTAATGCTGAAACCATGGCGAATGCACCTTAGGTACAAACGAAGCGAAGCGAAGTGAAATCATAGATAAAAGAAGGAAAAGACTAGGCCAGAGAAGGGAAATGAGATAACATTAGCTATGTGAATTAAAAAGACAAATAAATAAGTTGGACGTTAAACTATTATTCAATTACTGCTTGAAAAAGAACCCTATAATGGTGGTACCATATATGTATTCAGTGATTATGAAAATGACTTAGTTACCTAATATTTTATCAGACATGGAAAAAAATTGTAAACTTTTTAATCTAATAATTCGTATAAAAAGTACATTTTTATCAAATATATTTAATTTAGATTATATCTTATGTGATTATAGTAGTTGCAACCTAATAAAAAAGATAATTTGAAAACATCATTATATAAAACACATACAAAAAATAACGCAATACATATAAATGTGTTTTAATTATTTAGCAAATAAAATATTATTTGTCTATAGAATAAGAAACAAATAATATAATAGTAACACAATGAGAAAAAGAATACGTGTGAATTTTCTTAGAGAAGTATGAATACCAATATTTACGAACAAAAAGTCTTTGAAAACTACTACTTTTTTATTGCTGGCGTTTAAATATAGGGACTCTGTAAGAAATTGGTTTTCATAAATAATGATCCTATATTATTTATTTTTAATTTTAAATAATTAAAAAATCCAAAAATTTGTAATACATAATGTATATTTTAATCATGACTCCATAATAATAAACTTTGCAGATGACTAAGAGTATCATAATATAATAGAATTCTAACTCTTCTCCTATCAAAAATTTTAACAAATGATATGCTTCTCAATATTTTCTCATTGTTTTGATTGTTTTGTTTTGTCATTGTTGGAGAATAAAGAACTGATCTTTACCTTGAATTTTATAATCATTTTGTATGATGAATAATGTTGGACAATAAAAGCATTAAAGAAGTTATTAGGCACAGAAATATTGCATATTTAAAAGAATGTGAAAGATATTATGATAAACAATTCTAAAATCATTGCAACAACCATGACGGTCAATAATTTTCAAATAATACATTATATTGTTCGTCTATATTCCAAATAAACAACAATGTCGGAGTATCAAAACAATTTTGAATGTTCGAATGAAGTTGTCACTTTTTATAGAAATATTTATAATTTATCGGTATATTGTACTCGAACATATGTGCAATTACTTTAGAGGTACTTTCAAGTAATGTATGATGATTTCAAAAAATAATTTAGTACCTCGGGAGAAGTACATGTAACCAAACATGTAACCAAAATTTTGGAAAGTCAACTTTTATTTGGAGATAAAATTTATTCCCACCTCATGGGGCGATGCATCAATGGGGTAGGCACCAATATGTCTAGAGACAGATGAATGTAGTAGTTTATACAATGATAAAAAATACCAACAATTTTAATGACATAATTAGTTATTTTATAGAGATATATATGCATTGTTAGTAGAAGTACCTTATTATAAAGATTATACAATCATGAAGTTTGACTATATATTGGGTCAGAATGTTTCTTAAGTGTTTGAATAAAATTAACCTTTTGCCAAATGAATTAAGAGAAATTTTACAATAGTATTGATGTATTAGACTTCAGCGAGTACCAATGTTTCTTATAAGAAAGATGAAAGAAAATTTTAGTGGTTTTTGTATTAAGGATTTGTTTTTTATATATTTTAGTTGGAGGTTGTAAAACGTTATTTCACTCTTTTTATATTAGGACATCATTACGCTAATTCTAAATAAAAAAAATCACATATGAATTCATTTGTTCTATATTTTATTTGATTCCTGCAGTGATATGTTTAATAAATAAATTAATTTATTTTATAAACTTAATCAGCAAAAATCATTCGATACCACGTGCATCGCACGTGCACTTTACTAGTTATTAAAAACCTCCTTGTACACAACATTATGAGTTTGATTATTTGGTAACTCCTCATTATCACAAACTAATATTTTCAAAAGAGACAAATCCTAAAAATCAAACTAATATTTTTGGTGATTAAACTAATATTTTAGGATTGATGAACAAACTAATATTTTAGGATTTCTAGGATTTGTCTCTTTTTGGTGAACAAACTAATATTTTAGGATTGATTATATGAATAAGGCTACCTGTTTTTGGTGTTCTTGTCATTCATTTTCATTCAAACAATCCGATGACTTGTATAATGAAATTCGAATCTTAAGCCGAAATATTTAAAAAAAGAGTTTTTACAAATTGAAAAGTCAAGGCAATCAGTTCAGATTAATTAAAGGTCAAAGAATATCTGCTTCTTGAAATAAAGACGTGTGCTATCATTAACCAAATATCCGGTTATTGATATAGAGTGGTTACCAAAAAATAGAACGCGATAAGGACGCTTCATGAAAATATCAATGGGATAAGGTCAGAACAGATCGCTATACATTTTAACGATAAAAGCTCAGATGGAATGATTTATGATAATTATGTCGTAATTAATGAATTAATTAGATGTGTGAAAATGACATAATTAATGAGAAATGTGAAAAGGACATAATTAATGAGAAGTGTGAAAAAGACATAATTAATGAGAAGTGTGAAAAGGACAAAAACTTACCAATTTTGGAAAATATTTAATGCAAATCCGACATTGACCATAATTTGACCTACTATTTTGGATAAATGTTAATTCTTATTATATTGTATAGATATTTGATGATCTAATTTTCAGAAATATCAAAAATTAAAAATAAAGCTGGAAGAAGAGTCAACGAAATGTGATATCATTTATTTCTCATAGCTTTTATCCCAAAAACGAAGAACTATTGTCAAAAGCTATACATTTATGCTCATATAAGGATAACTCATCACAATATTATTAATCAAAATTACAATTATTGAGAGTCCGAGTTTAAGCAGCATAAGCAGCTATCTTCACTCCATTGTAACAATGTCCCCAATGCCCAGAAATGAAATAATTAGGCCCTTTTCTTAGCCTTATCATATCATTACCAGAAGTATACGTCTTGCCCTTTGCTGGCCAGGTGCAAGAATCATAACTCGACTTATCCACAACTACAACATTGTTATAGGCTGGGACATACCTGAAAACTGAATTTAGAGATTTTTTAGTCAATTAGTGAATCAAAAGTTACATAAGTGGTCAACTTATATAAACAATATTAATAAACAAATATTAACTATAAAAAAAATGAAAAACATTAATAAATTACAATATTACATTGGAGAGATTTTATCTTTTTCCTTTTTTTTCCTTTTTTTTTTTCAAAATTGAAGTTGTGTGCATTAGTAGATATTACTAAGTTCTTTTTGAATTTGTTTTTCAAAATACACATTAGAAATAAAATCATTTATAAACTAATCATAAACAAAAAAAAAAAATGTAGCTTATATAAGACCCCCAATAATTATAAAATTAAATCACAAATCAATTATTCATACACACTAAAAAGTTAGTTAATTTGCAATAAATTGCAATAAAAAAACTTAGATCATATGAAAATAAAACAAAATTTGTAGATGAACGACTTAAATTTTTTCTTGATATTTTACCTAGAATGTCACCATGGTAGAATCTCTTGCCATCTTCCCAGCCGGATACATTGTAGCTCCAGCCTCTATTGTCTCCAACAATAAACCGTGTTGAGTAGGCCGGGCTCCAATGAAGCAACACACACAACAACACTACTTTCAAAATCATTGCATTTACTTTTACTGCAGTCATGCTGTGACTAGTGAAAGTTTATCTACTGTTTTTCCTTCACAAGCTTATGTCTTTTGGACAAAAGCAATCACCCTTATATAAGCCCATATTAGCTAGAATATTATGAAAATCGTTAGTAGCTTGTTAATTGTTGTGATTTCATCTTGTGTTGCTAGATATAGGTAATGATATTATGAGTAGACAAATACGTACCCATCATATTTACACAAATTTTGAACATGTATCTGATTGTAATTATGTAAATTTAGATTATAATGTAGGAATGTTCGATTTTTTAGGAAAAAATTCTTTTACTACTAAACCATTAGATGAATTGACTTGTCAAACTTTTTTTTAACAAAAATGCATACTTATTTTATAAAATGGCATACTTTTGTTTATATTGATTTTTTGGAATATAACATTTTATTTTAAAAGTATATATATATATATATATATATATCAATCAAAAAATTATGATTGTCTAATAATAGTTTTACTGTTTTTCTGAAAAAATATATGTATATTTTTTTAAAATAAATTACATGTACTTTTCGTACAAGTTGAGATAGTATTTAATCTATATATCTATATATATAAAACTAATACTTAGCCTGTGCGATGCATTAATACAATGAAGGAATATTGATCAGTATTAAAATAGTTTGAAATATTAATAATTTTTTTGCTTTTAGTGTATGATATATAATACTTTAATATATAATTTATATGTTTATTGAACTTCGTTATAAAATAGTTGTCGTTTTAGATCTTGTTTATAATTAAGGATAATAGAAATTAACATATTCAAATATTATTAATAAATATATAGTACTCACAAAATATTTCTCTCTCTATATTCTCTTACTCATACTTTGTTACAATATATTAATTTTCTAAATAAGTTAGGCAAAAGTTAAAAAATTATGGCAGATATAATAACTGTTGATATCCGAGTCCGGACCCAACGTAGGTACCGGTCCGAGCCGAAGGAGCCGGTCACCAAAACCGCACGTGGGTGCCGATCTGAATGAGAGTCAAAGTCGTCTGGAATGGCGGGGTGAACAAGTCCCGAGATCGGCACCGTATCCATGTGGCTACGAGATCGGCACCTTGTTCCAAGTCTCGCAAGGGTGGCTCCTGATAGAAGTATGACGTCGGACACAATAAAATAACGCCACTTGTCTACGCATGATTGCCGATGGGACGTCCAACTCAGCTAGAACGTGTCCGCATTTAATGCAGCCCACGTTCGCATTAAATGTATGGCAGGTAATGATTGGAGAATCCGGAAATCACTCTCAATCAGTCAGAGAAGCGCCGGTTTGTCCCGTTGAGCTACTGTGCGATAAGACCGCTGAACAGTACCCAAACAGTGCCGCATTAAAGTCTCCTATAAATAGCAACCCCCTCATTTATTTTTGGGTGGTTGAATCCCCAACTACTCAAGCTTATATTTCCTCTCTCTAAAGAACTTGTAAGAAATTCTTGTAAGCAATATAAGTATATCACAAGTGCCGACCTCGTACGAGAGGCCGACCTCGTGACCCGTTAATAAAACCGTAATTAAACCGTATTTCTTTGTCTTTTCCTCATTTTCTTTCCATCATTTGACTTTTTAACCGTTGACCGGAAACGTCCGTCAACAATAACATACACTTAATTAAAAAATATTATAATATATGTTATTTTAAAATTTAAAAAATTATTAATTTTTAATTACATCAATATTATTTTATATTTTATTAAAATTTATAATATAATAAATATTTTAATATTTCTTCCAAATCTACTAATTTATATAAGATTTGTTATGATACTGTGAATTGCAATATGAATTTTAAAAAATATGGTTTGATGGAGTTATTGATAAAATCAAAGGATATTTTTGACATCCTTGAATAGATGATGTTTGATATATAACTCGTTACGAAATGAATAGAAAATCGTGGGGATTTGTTATTAATGTCGAGATATCAATTCTATTATAGTGCTATGGTAGTTATATCTATAAGATTTTTGCAATTGATTTCTAAATTTATTTTGTACTTATATTTTCCAATGTTCTCACGTTTGTACTTATATTTTGCAATGTTCTCACGCTTTCAGTTTACATATGGTTGGATACCCAACAAAATAGGAGAATACATGATTTATTATTAAAGATAAAGGTTGATTTGTTATTAAAGATAAATAATTAAATTTCTTTTGCTATTTTGAAAAATTGAATTTATAATTTTTGAAAAACTTAAATTGAGGTACTAGTAAATCAAAGGATTCAAAACTAATTCTCTTGATTCAATGATTTTTGAAGATAGAATAAAAATATTTTGGTATATGGCTTATTATCAAATGAATAGAAAATCACCGTTATTTGTTATTAATGTTGATAAATAAGATTTTATTGTAACATAAAATTTCTATAATTGATTTTTAATTTTTATTTTGTAATGATATTTACAATTTTATCGGGCATATTCATGTAATATTTTGTAAAAACAAAATATATTTAATAGACATTTTTAAGACATGTTGTATGGTTGGTTAGCAAAATAATAAGAAATTGCATTTATTTGTAACTAATATGAAGAATTAAATTTTTATTGCGATAATTATCACAACATAATTTTAAAAATTTATACCACTTTATTTATATAGAAAGTTGTGTTTTTAACTGGATTGCACAATTTACAACAGGTATGTATAATGTAATTTTTATTTATTTTATAATTATTAAAATAATATTTGCTATATTTCTCTTAATACTAAGTCAACCTTATTTAATTACAAAGTCAAAGTTACTATTTTAAATTATTCCATCAATCTCTTTCAATAAATGTATATAGATGTAGCAAATATTATAACCAACACTTAATTGAAAATGATTGTAATATATATTATTTTGAAGTTAAAAAAATTATTAATTTTAATTTACAAAAATATTTTTTTTCTTATATATTATTATTATAAATATTTAATTTTTATTTCTAATCTATTAAGTTTAATGAGATTTTTTATGATGTCGTGAATCGCAATATGAATTCTTAAAAAATTATTTTGGTGCATTTATTGATAATCTCGAATGACATATTTGAACTCCTTTAATAAATGATTTTTGGTATGACTTGTTACGAAATGAAAATAACATTGTAGTGCTTTGTTATTAATGCTGAGATATCAATTCTATTATAGTATTGTGGTAGTTATGTCGATAAGATTTTTGCAATTGATTTTTTAAATTTATTTTATACTTATATTTTACAATATTTTCACACATATTTCGTTCTACATATCGTTGGATACCCAACAAAATAGAAGAACGCTTGATTTGTTATTAAGGATAAACATCAATTTGTTATTAAAGATAAATAGTTAAATTACTTTTCATATTTTAGAAATTTGGATTTATAATTTTTGAAAAACTGAAACAGTTGAGTTATTGATGAATCAAAGGATTTTAAAGTAACCCTTTGGGTTCAATGATTTTTTTAATAAACAAAAAAAAGAAATATATATTTTGATAAATGATTGGTTACCAAATGAATAAGAAATCACCGTGGTTTGTTATTAATGCTGATAAATAAGATTCTTTTGTAACATACTATTTCCATAATTGATTTTCAATATTTATTTTGTAATTACATTTACAATTTTATCGTGCATATTCAAATAATAATTTATAAAAACAAGATGTATATAATAGACGTTTTTGGAAGACATGTTGTATGGTTGATTATCAAAAGAATAAGAAATTGCAGTGATTCGTAATTAATATGTAGAATTGAATTTTTATTGCAATGATTATCACAAAATAATTTTCAACTCATATATATAGTCGTGCTATTAACCGGATTGTACGATTTACAACATGTATGTATAATTTAATTTTTATTTTCTATAAACATTAGAGTAACTTTTACTATATTTCATTTAATAGTAAGTCAACTTATTTAATTACAAAGTCAAAATTACTATTTTAGATTGTTCACATCAACCTCTTTCAATATATATAGATATAGATATTGATATAGATATTGATATAGATATAGTCTTATAGATATAGATAAGAATAAGGTTATATTATTTTTGGAATGTTTTTCCCGCCATAAACATGAATTACATACTAAAAATGATAATTTTAAAATTTATTTGAAATAAGAAAAGAAGAAGCATTAATTGAATTCATTATGATTACCTTTAAAAATGGAGTCCGGATTGTATTTACGCGTTGACCACTATTATATGAGCAGAGTTGTTAGCCGATTTATTAGATACATACGAACTTATTTATAGTCAAATCATTTTGATTTTATTATCATGCTCTTTTTTTATGGTAAACGGTGTTGTTGAGTATTTTATCTTCGTAGTAATAGATTAAAAAAATCAGCAATTTAAAAAAGAATGGGTACAATCAACTCATTTTGAACGTAACAATATTTTTGTTAAAAGATTATTTTTCCAATATCTTCTTAAGATTGGAATGGAATCGGTAAAAAATGAAAATGATAGAAGAAAAAGGTATACACGAAATCACTTTTTATTAAGATTTGCATTATAGTATAAATTTTATAACAAAATACTCAAAATTCTGTACAACAAATTTTTTATACTTTAATAACAATATTTTATAGTTTACTAACAACATTTTTTAATGATTACTTTTTTTTTACAACAAAATTGTCAAAATTTTGTACTGCAAATCATTTTATATTTTAGTAACAATATGTTTATAAATATTACGTTTTCTTTTTGTATAGCAAATTTTTAATATTGTAGTAACAATATTTTATGCCATAAAATATGCAACGTTTGATTTGGATATAGCATAACAGAATATGCAAAAAGTTATCGCATATGGTAAATTATGCGGTGGATTTGGATATGCGAGTTGTAAACTATGCGAAAACACATCGCATAACATAAAATGTGCAGCGTTCGATTTGGATATGCGATAACTGAATATGCAAAAATTTATCGCACATGGTTAATTGCACAGTGGATTTGGATATACGAGTCGCAAA